CTTCGGCAACCCCATTTTCTATTTCTCAGGGACTATAAAATAGCTGAGCGTTTTATATTTCTCAATCTCAGTCGATGCAAACTTTCTTCTCTTAATCTCTCGCATGATATTTTTACATTTATTCTTTATGTTCAATTTCTCGGAGAATAAAACCTAGTAATTTGCCCGGGCAATCGAATTTTCACCACATACAATACGCTGTACACCTGCATTCGCAAAATTCTTAACCATACCACGTATTTTCGTCCGAATTAGACCAATCGTTCAGAGGGAAGGTGAAATAGGCAGCAAGGGACCAATCTTATGCAGTGGAGCGGATCGCGGGAAACTCACTTCAATCACCACCCTCGTATCGACTCACATGCCATCTATCCCTTGCAGGCGATCAAAGACAGGCGACAAGAATTGCAAAATGCAAACGCGACGAGGAACCTGGAGCAACGCCAAGCGCGCTGTTACCAGTCGGCACGACCCTGGCGACGAAAACCGGATCACGCGGATGATCTTTGAAACACGCGTTCGCTCTCGAATATACGGCACAGTATTCTTCTTTCAAGGACTCGCCTCGTATTCCTTCGTGGAAATTGCTTTTCGAATACTGTACCTTTCCTAAATTATGATGAAAGGCATCTCAGAATGTAGATTTCAGTTAATCGACATAATCAAGTCAGAACGCACAAATGAAAAGCATTGTCCCGTTCACCCACCAGAGGTACAGAAAACGCAACCTTGACATTCAGGTTATCCTTCAACATGCATCGGTCAAGTTCATCGACGAAAAATCCATAAAAATTTTTAATTTGCGAAAACTATACCTGAACCAACCCCTCTTTTAATTGGTTTCTCATTCAAAATCATGACAGAATCACTCATAGTGAAGCATATGTTATTTGAGCAAAAACAACGAAGAGCCGAAAATAAAAACGAAGCATTTCGACGTCGCATGAAACAAAAGCGTCCTGAAAAAATATTCTTCATATGCTCGGAGCCATCAGGACTCTGGCAATTGCATTAACTAGCGTTGAAAGGGGGAAGAAATTAAGATTTCGAAGTCTTCTTCGAGTCTCCATAGTTTTTCAATCGACACGTTCGATCTCACGGCCGATAAAAAAAATTCCGTCAACATTTTCCGGCCTCAGCGTAAATTCGGTTCCACATCCAATTTTTGTAGCATACCGTTGATCCCGCCTTTGTATCAAAAGGATTCAGAAACAAGTCTGGACTTTTCCTCAAAAGCCATGAACAAAAGGCTCTCACCTGAGAAAATCAACATAATCCATCCGGCTCTTATACCCATGCGACGCTTGGCGAGTTTAATTTAGAATAACCTCCGGATGCCAAACGGACCACATCTTGGTATGATGGTACGGTACCAAACTTCTTGACTATTTTGGCAAGCGCAGCTGATTTTTGTGGATAGTTCCGCACTGAGGAATGCACTAAACGTTTCCCGCATCAGAAATAGCATTAATTTTCCAGTTTCGAAGAAAATAAAGGAATCCTATGAGTATATTATTACTGTAAAAGATCCATTTCAAGCGCCAGAAAAGAAAAAAATTCAATTATCCGCCCAGAAAAATCGTCTGAAAGCATCTTTATTTTATTCATACGATCCATTGTTTCCAGCATGGATGGCAGCCGATCGTCAGCAAATCCAAAATGCACTTGAGGAAATTTAACGATTTCTTGGACATTTTGTTAGCTGATCGAAGTACGGCATGAATACAACCCCAAGCAACTTCACACGGCATGAGTTTACCGGCAGGCGAAATACTGTGCAATGAACTTCTTTTCCCACATAACTATTCGTGATTGATCAAATATTGGTGGAACTGACGAGTGAACGTCAGAAACATAAGGTATCTAAACAGCTTCTTTCCTTCGAGCTTTTGGTAAACCGCATTAAGAACCAGACATAACTTGAAAGAATTCGTACTGTTCTTCGTCTTCCTCCGTAAATGGTGTCAGCCGACTTCGGCACGAAACTAGAGTTAAATCCGACTTCAACATTCTCATGAAATTTTGAGAAGTTGCCATATACATGCAGTCTGTTTCAGCCAGTTCTGTGAATTTCATATAAAATTCTACTTGAAAAACAACGCTGTAATTCTGGAAAAGATGTTGCAGGACTCAATATCTCATGACAATAGTTGGCTGCGCTTCTTTTTTTTTTTTTACTTTTTCATCGCACTGTGGAAAATTCAGACTCATATTCGACACCAATGAGCTTTGGGGAAAAATTCAATGTGTTGTTGGAAGGGTGGACGCTGAACAGAACATCGTTCACGGCGGTTCGAAAGAGGATTCTAACTCCTGCGATGTGTAGGACTACAGCATGAAAAAATAAATTAGAAAAATTAATTTCTTGAATAACCACCAATAGATCGGAATAATACGCAGGCTTACTTTCGAATACCAGGTACTTCAGAATTAAGATTATTAGAGCTCGCACCAATAGAGTAAAGATCGAAGTTATATTGTGGCCTTCGGCTCAGGTCCAATTTCATGATACTGTTCATGTAGCTGCATTTGTAAGACGAACATGGCAACTCTAAAATTAATTCCTAGGGGGAAAAAATGTGTCACATGCCTTCATATTCTTGATGAATTGATCGGGGTTTAACCCCAAATTTCGATTGAGAGCAGGAAAAAAGGCAAACAATATTTCAGAATCTGTCTCCATTTGCAGACTTTGCAAAATTCACAAAGTTGAACACGGGAAATACTGAACATCCGGTCACCCTGAAGGTCTCAGGATTCCTTCTATTACTCTTGATGATCAAAGCTCACATTATTCGGCCTCTTTTATTCTTTTCACCTCACAAAAGATGCATTGTAACTAAGAAAAGTCCTTTGCTGTGGTTCGCAAAATGCCTCCACACTTGAAATGTGGTCACAGCTATTTATAAATTGGGTCGCACTGGTGAGCAATGTCGAGTAATGTTTTCTGAATCGATGAATCTTGTGAAGAAATACACCGTGAATCCGATTCATGAAGAAAGAAATTTCACTTTCGACGATTTTCTCTCGCGTGATTTACTGTGGGCCTTATCACTATCTTGAAAAGTCATTAAAGGGAAAAGGGCAACCAAATTACCCGCATAAGACATTTATTGTATTTGGTATTCAAAATTTAATAGAAATTGGAATGGTATAAATAATATAAATGATGCATAAGCGTGGTAAAAAGTTGTATAGCAAGCTAAATCAGCCAATAAAGACACCAGGAAATAGCCTCGGGAAAAGTCTTCACAATTTTCCTACTACCGCCTCGCTTTCTTCCGATGATCTCGAGTAAAGGCTGCGACCTATTTTATTTTCAAACAAATCAATCTTACCTAGGCCTGACTCGAAGTCTTGGAAGTTACATCTTTTTCGAGGGGTGGAAGAGCAAACTAAGATTTCGTAATGCTGCTGAAATAATCTTCGAGCAGGGTGCGAGAAACAAGCGAGACCAGATGAAAGATGAGATCCGAGTTCAGGGATCACAAGGAAGCAGTGTCTTCATGGTCTATATCACCGTGGGCAAACGGACGAAGAAGACGGTTCTCGCTGTAAGCGCTGAGAGGTCAAAAAGAGAATAATGCAACGTTTGACGATCTTCGAGTCCCAGTGAGATCGAGTCACGAGACCCTCGAGCTTTTCGATTACGCTTCCTTCATCCAGCGCACCCGCAGGAAACCGGCAGTTCAAGCGAAGCTTCAAGCGTGAAGGTGAACCTTGGCGGCTCATTCAATGTTTCTTTTACGATCCGAAACCCTCTCAAGGCTGAGACTGAATGACTGGTGCAGAGAAACGCAAGTAGTAAATGAATCCGACCGAACAGGGTCCGCTTCTAGTTCGGGGTGATTCAAGACGAGATTCCGCGTGCCCTCGACCTCGGGTGCCCGTCGCCAAGGAGCAGCTACACAAAATTGAAGCCCAAGGTCACGTTCCCCCTGACAGGTCAATCGCCGTCGGGTGGATTGACCCGTACAGATCAACAAAATCTGAATCCACGAAGAAGACCATGAGTATAGCACCATTCCTTCACATTACTACTTCATTTCAGGTTCATTTTCCAAGACGCCACTTCAGCGTGGCTCGCAAGGTCAAACAAAACCGCGGTTTCGCGCAACACCATCAAAGCCGCATCGATTTCTCCACCCAGGGCCCGTGAAACAATTCGAAATTCTCCGACCCATTTCGCGCACACTGTTCTTTTACAAGAAGGACCCAAGCACCGAGATGAACGCTCGTCCAGAACGGTTGGATAGCAATAACACCGATTCGAGTACAGTACAGTACAGTATTTCATTCATGTTTACTCATTGATGGAACGAAGCCAGCTTACTGCCAGGCGGGAAATTGAATCTCGTCGAGATCTTGAATAAAAAAAACCACAGCATCGCAGCACTCCGCATTAAATTCGATCTTCCGCAGAAATGAAAGCAACATCACCTCAAACAGAATAAACGGAATGACATAAGAGGAGGAGAATGTTCAAATTGCCACTGTTAAAATCAAGCATTTGTTTCTCGATGAACTTAGGAGAAGTGCTGAAATTAAGCTCATCATGATAAAATTTAGGACAAACCAGACATAAATTCAGGAATAAATCAGGCTGCTCATCGTCTTAATCGCTTCAACGCATGTTACTGCAAACCGAGCCAGACGCGACTACACAACCAAATCCATAACATAACGACCAGGTACCGTATTCATGAAATTATAAGCAACATTTGTTTCCCACAAAACATTGTGTGTACCTTATGCTCGAAGTAATAAAGAACAGCCCAAAACAGTCTCATATTCGCGGCTCACGCTAGATATTAAATATAAATTAAAATCTGCAATAGTTTAAATTCCATTCAAAAAAATTGGCATGTTTTTCCGCCTTTTTCCTTCGAAATTCAGACAATAGATCATGTTTCGGGGGGGGGGGGATGATGATCGGTGGGAATTAGATATCGAACTATGGGTCCGATTATAGTTCGGTCGAATCTAACAGAAAGACTCACCAGATCCCGTTTGCTCCAAATCTGCGTTGCACTTGTCAAGCAGGTACTGCGCTACGTCAAAGTGACCATTTCGGCAGGCTACGACGAGCGGAGTTGCACCATCAGTTCGAGCAACCACTAAATTCTTGACGACTGGGGCAGCCAGTCGATCCAAGAGATTCTGCAACACACAGTAACGCATGCACGTAAGCAGGAAGAACAACCTTTTTGCATGTAACCTGCAGGGGGAGGATGCATTCGCCGTGGGGCGGGTCAACGACTATGCCTTTGATAAATTCGAAAATTTCAACTGCATAAATGTTTCGTGGTTACGATACTCGAAACGGTAAATTATTTTTAAAAAATGCTAGCTCAAGAAGCGCAAATCTGTTCAGGAGATTAAAGCACAGTGAAATCATCTAAGTGTGGAGTAAATTAAGCTTCCGTCAATGGAACCGTAATCGTTGGTTAGGAACATCAAAGAACTAGACGAAGAAAATCACGTGGAACCTTGGAAAGCTCTGAAGACGTGGAATTCGTGAAAATGTATGGAGCATTGCAACTCTAGACAGAGGAAACAGCCGCATGTGCATGCAATTCTCTCCCACAGTGATAGAAAGTACACACGAGTCGGTATAGCAACGAAAGGATCGAATTTACCCAACCCCGTTTCGCATGTTTTCGCAATCGTCATTTTGATCGAAACGGCCCGGATTTCCTCAACCGTTGTTTCACCACGATTGTGCATGCTACGCGAGCCAAAGGACGGCGAATTTCAAAACGAAGAAGTTGAATTAAAAATGTACGCGTGAATTCAACTACGATTTTGTTTCTTTCTTAAAACCATTCAGATACGTAGGCAGCGTTTGATCGCGGACGACTGAAGAAAAACGCATAAGTAGCCACCCTAATCCTGGACGCGTAAAGGCATTCATCCCATTTAGTAGCAGACGTTAAGAGTGGGACTCTCAGTTGGTTGAGTTCTCAACGATCAAAGAAAGTACAGGACTCTGAATTCTTTAGTCCGGGGTCAGGGAACGACATCGGCCAACGCCTTCGTAAGAAAGATCTGCACTACGGTTATTCGTTAAATAAAAGAGCTCAAGAGTTTCGACATTCATTCGTTCGAGATTCACCTGAACAAATCCCACCAACTTCACAAGTGGACACTTCTACCAGTCACAGATGAAGTAGCAAAATCATCGCATCCCATTCTCACAATTCTCTCGAAATGGATGGATGGTCAGACAAATCGAAACCGACAAGCCTCTTCGCCGTTATGTGAACTTGGATGAATACCACAACGTTTTTCATCTCAACGATACCATGGGCTCCCTACTTCTAACGGCACATCGTCGTTACAGTTCGACGATCAATCTGAGGTACAGTACATCTGAGTGGAACACAATATTCTTCAACGACGCTTCCGTGGATACAATCAGACTTTCCTCGCTAAATTGAACTCCATATCCGTGAGCACGGTTCAAAGATGTGCACGCCCATCGTAACTTAATCCGTCAGTATACAGTACTAGATGATACGCGTATTCAGAGGTAGCTCACCCTAAGGCGCTGAAAATCTCCGTCCCTTGCGGCTGAGAAAATAGCAGCTTTGTAATCTTCTCCAGGAACCATCTCCCCTCGAATATGAGCCATCTCCCCTCGAATATGGGCGCCCAAACTCCGTCGATATCCCGGAGCTGATGCACAGTAAACCAGTCTGACTTTCGTCGGCGATAATCCGTTAAATTTCAACGCTATCAACGCCCGACGATACACAGGTGTTGGTCACTTTTCTCATCACCACGGGAAAGCTATCCGCAAAACGCGACTACTTCGGCGCTTCACAAGCGCTGGCAATCGCGATGAGGGACTTCTGTCGACTGAAACCTATGGCGTCGGGCTTGTTACCGAGTTCATGTTTTTGGCTAGCTGGGCCCCGCGCCAGAGAAGGGAGGACAGAAATCATTCCCGCGCGGTGAGAACCAGTCCACGAAGCGGGAGTGAGAACGAACCTGGTTCACCGGTAGCTGTGGAAACCATGGAGTCATTTTTCTGCAGTCCATTATATTTTTTTTATGCAGCAGTTATGTGCAAAGCGCGAACAGAGAAGAGGAATGAATTTTATCATCCAAGTTATGAAATTTAATTTCGTCCGACCCACATTTTACTTGTATTTAGCAAACGTCTTCTCAGCATGCATTCCGCAAACGTGGACCAAAAAAATATCGCTCCACAATATTTTGTCTTCCTAGTCCGGAGTACGGGGGCAATCCGGAGCATGGAACTGAGATGCTCAGAGATGTGTGCGTCGTTCAGCCATCTGCACTAGTGGATCAAAGTCACGAAAAAGGTTGACCTATGCGGATCTGGATGCACGATTTTTCGAATCGCACTGTACATATATCAGAGGAAGTTTTTCCTTATCACACCATATGCTGATACATAGAAATATACTGATCTGCCCAAGGTTTTTTGGGAACAGCCCTGTGAAGAACGTATTTGAGAGGGAATGTTCCCACATCCCATGCAGCAAAAGCATCAGCAAACCTCAAAAGGATCAGCAAAAACATACTCATTACTTTTCCATTTTTACTTTACTAAGAACTTTTATGGTGGTGAGTTCAACCTTTTCTGAGTCTTTGTTTTTACTTGAGCTGATCAACCAAGTGAGCTGCATTTCAACTCAATCCATTTTGTAGCTATAGAACCATATGCAACTGAGGGCAAGCATATATGCTGGACAAATAATGCTTTTTCAAGAGGAAAAGTCTAAAGTGCAAGTTTTTCTAAATTACTACAAAAGTTATTATAATTTGGAACAAAAGAGAGTTTTCAAAGTTTACGTCAAACAATGTAATGCAGTTAACTCATATACAGTATTGCTGGAATGTCTGAGATCTAATATGCAAGGTTGTATATTTAGAATTTTTTATTATTGAACATGGCCAATAATTCTTCATCAAAACGTGTAATAACGGTGGAAGGGTGAAGGTTAATTACTTGGGATCAAATTGTACCTCCGTTTAAAAAAAGCACCTCTACTGAATAGACATGGGATGAGGGGTGGAAGAGTTTGTATAAGAACAATAGAGCATACACTCTGCAACATGTTGTGAGCGTCATGAAGGTTTTGGGTAACTCAATCATAAGGTGTCACGAAGCTACAATTTCATCAAGTCACTGGATTTTGAAAAATCTTGTATTCATATAGCATACCTTTCCAGTTTGATAATTGTTCAAAAACCAAAGAAGAATTTTCCATTTCTTTTTAGACACAATATGTAATGTATAGTTTCATATGAAAATACGATCATACTCTGAATATGCAAAAAGGACACAAATACTGTATTTGAAATTTAGGAAAAAATGCCCCTCACAATCAAAATAATGAATGCTACAATGAACGCCCGATAAAAACCTGTACACACATTTTGTGCTTAAAGGTTTCTGTAAGAATGTTATTCCAAGAAATTAAGGAATTACTTATATTTTTTCCCCGCAAAAGTAAATTCGGTTGTAATTTTAAAAAATCGACCCCTATTCCAGTTTTCCAGAAGGCCGCGAAAGCCGCGAAAGTCTCCACGGAAAAGCCCAGGCAGAACTTCACTCCCTGCAGTCCCTGCTGGATTTGCATATACCCCTTTGAAACGCCTCCGGCGGAATGATGTACACTATGACTAATAGTGAATATGCTGTACATTTATAGAGGGATGACTGGTGACACCTACTGGCCACCACTCGAAATATCTCCTGGGGCGCGTCATTTTCCTGCTGGTTTGATCAAAGTAGCCTGTAGCCCCGTGAATAAAAACTTCAAAAGAGCTAGCATGGGCTCCTATAGGGCAGTGCCTCAGTTGTCTTGTGATCAGGATGGAGTGAGCAATTGTCCAGTGTGAAACAATTGTTTTCTTTTAGAGGTATTTTCGAAGTTCAATAAATATTTGCTACACCTATACAACACACGGCGATACTGTCTCCCAGCGTCGAGGCACTGATGTGGGCGTCTGGTAATGACAATACGAGATGCTAGGTGTCGCTACAGCATTTGAATGGCGTCGCATGACTGGCATGAGGCACTACGCGCATAAATGAACGGTCGGTCGTGTAGACAACGAACGACACAAGATGTCATTATACTAACACGCAACGTCCGGCGTTGTACAGTACAGTAATGTAGATGGTAGCCTCGGCATTTGTATACACTTCACACTAATACAGATTATACAGTATAAATAAACGGCATTACTGTATATGTGAACTTGCCAATTTTGTTACAGGAACCAGGCCTTTTCAGAATGCTTACTGAGAAACGGTGAGGCCTGCAATAATAGACACAGCAATAAATTTAAACTAAGCAATTTTCGTCACTGAAAACCATCCGGACTTCGTACTGCACTTGAAGGCCAAAAGATTAAAAGGTCGGGATAATGTCTGCATGAGTACGGTACTCATCCATTATCATTTCTTCAAGTTATTTATTCTACCAGAAGAACTGATGACTATGATTCCTCACGTTATTTTATTTAAATCTATACATTTTACAGCATCACTAATACATTGAATATGAATGCCAACACATTTATTTGGGCATCACTTACACAGATAGCCTCCACCTTTTCTTACTACTCTCCTTCGCGACTCCACAAGAACATAACCAAACATGTATATAGTTCAGCATTCCCTGGGCCAAACGCGAAATTCTTCAATTCAATCAATTTTTATTTGGTTTTTAATCAAGTCGATTCAATATTTAATGAAAGTACAATATTACATTTTTGAGCAAATCATTAATCATGTTGATTAAATATATAGAAGATAACTGCTTCAAAATGTTCAAAACACTTCATTTTGCTCATACTGAACGTGTTCGTTTGTGATGGATATTGACATATAATCAGGATGATATGTTGTGTGATTTCTTTCAATGAAATTTTTCGGTTTTATGAGAAAGTTAACACCGCCTCGCAGTATTGAAGAATTACATCTGCTAATTCTATCAAAACAAAATTCCACAGAAAAAGCATTTCTGTAAGCATGCATGTATGAAAACTGATCATTTGGCAGCCTTTCAAGATAACATGTTTAGGCTAGAAACAGTCAGTCCACCTGTTTACAGGAATCAATCAAGAGGGTGAATTATTCGCCAATCATAATTAATTAATGTAACACTAAAGTATTCCATCATCTGGTTTTTTCAAAT